GTGGACTGATTAGATTTACCTTTCTATGCCCTCCTCAAAACACGGCTTACGCTACCCTGGTCAGTTCTTACGCGGCCACCCTTGATTTGTTAGCCAGGCCTTTGGTAAGATGAGAGACCCCAGCCTTGTAGATATGAACCACTGTGCCTCCAGATGCTTTTGTTTTGTTTTGTTTTGTGTGTGGGGGGGTGTCCTTGTACAATTTTTGCTCTTTCAATAGGGAGTTGCTGGGAAGAAACCGAGTAGCAGACTGAAGATGGACATGAAATAAGCAGGTGAATTGAATGTAACAGACTGATAAATTATATTCAGATTAAAATTTAGTTCTTTAATCTCCCAGTCACTATAGAAACTAACCCTGCCCAACTGCTGGGATACCATTTCAGAAGCACCAGCAGGCACCAGCTGTACTGCCAGAAACGGTGAATAAAGGACATGAGCGACCCTGGGAGTTTGTTACAGAGAGAAACACAAGCTCAGGAGGGCAGTTCTGGTTAGAATGGTGAAAAATCTTTGCTGATCTGACCTGGAAAAAAAGTACCTTTTAATTCAGCGTCAACTCTCAGGGAGGCCTTATAGCAGCAACCAAGAGTTTGTTTTGTGACTGCCGTCCTGAAATCTGATTCCCTTTGCATTCACATGGCAATTTCATTCCTTCTTGCATAGCATCAGAAGACATGGCTACATTGCAGATGTCTCTCAATATCCATGCAATGCAGCTCAGTTTTGCAGTGCTCTCACAACGAGAGAATTATTACTTCGACGTGTACCAACAGACGCCTGGGGTTAGGGTTTGGAATTATGCTGGGCAAAGAGAGGGGAAAAAAGGAATTTTTTTAATGGGTCACAAACAATTTCCAGTATTTTGCAAGGGGTTACATTACAGGGTTTGGATGCCAGGCAGTTCAACGTAGGCTGAGCATGGGCCTGTTTGGCCACCACTCGCAGCGAACCTTCTGGCTTCAGTGTCAGCAAGGAAGTTTTCAAGTTGTTCAACATCCAGATTTACAGAGTGACTGACCCCAGCATCTCAAAGCTCAGACCACATCCCCGCAGTATGGGTGAGCTCAGTAGAGTATGCCCCACTTAGTCTGCTACCCTCTGTCCTTGCAGCCTCAAGCGGCTCACAGACAAGTGGGACCGGGGCCCAGAGAAGATCCTGATGTCACATGCGCCATGGGTGATGGGAGCTGTACGACAGCTGCCCTTCAGCTGCCTACGCCTTGTGTGGGTGCACCCAAGCTCCCAGCATCTTCTTTCTGGCAGCGTGCGCTCACGGGCCAGGTGCCAGAGCTTCTCTTCCTATACAGTTCCTTTATAGTCATAGGTCAGTAGGACTATATATGTAAGTGTTAGTGCTTCCTTGGGTGCTACACAATACAAAAGCTCATGTGCTTTAATCAGTCCACTGAAGGGCTACCCAGCTCACACAGAGGTGACCAATATGAAATCTTGTGTAGGAAAAAATCAATTTTTTTCTAGTAAGGGTAAAAGAAATTTCTTACTATGAGGGTGGTGAGACACTGGAACAGGTTTCCCAGAGAAGGTGGGGATGTCCCACCATTGGAAGTTTTCGAGGTCAGGCTGGATGGGGCTTTGAGCAACCTGATCCATTGAAAGATGTCTTTGGCCATGGCAGGTGGGTTGGACTTAGATGATCTTTAAGGGTTCCTTCCAACCCAAACCATTCTATGACTCAAGGAAATTTGGTTGTTGAAACACAGAATTTGCTGTAACCCTCTGTTAAAGCATGAGCATGAGCACTTTGCCATCCTTGTGGGCTGAGACCTAAAGCTCTGGAAGATGTGCTCTCCCTCTGCCGCACTCTCATTTCTTATGCCTATCATATGATAGCACCACAGAAGAAACCTCCCTGTACACATTTCCTTCCTCATCTAGCTGATACATACACTAAAGCATGCAATTTCAATCACACACTGAAATAGCATCACAGCCACTTATGTGAAGAGAAAGGCCTTGCCAAAAACACAGGGGGGAAGATAAAAAAACATGAGCCTTGGCCAAAACTGTAAGATCTGAACTGCACTGGAGACTGCAAATGGAAAGAGACACTAAAGGGCAAGGACTGTAAGCCCAGGCTGCTCTCTTGGTTAAGGCTCTCCAAGGAGAGCCTGAAGAAGAAGGTGCACCATTAGCTGGAGGATGATAAAAAGTCCAGGGAGATGGCCCTTGGGAGAAGCACTGCAGCTGATATGATGACAGATGGGACTGGGCTATGAGGTTTCTTCCCACAAGGTTTGGCCTCACACTACTCTACTCTACCACTGCTACTTGACTCACAGGGAGGTGTCAGATGCTCAGCCATTCAACTTCTATTTTCCTAGACACCTTCATCTAGGTAACTGTATCAATAATAATGATTCTTATTATCTTATTATCAAAATTACGTATGTAACAGTGTCAGAAACCAAATTTGGCTACAGACGTAACAAAATTGAGACCAACGGGGAAAAATAATTAGTGGTGGGTTGTTTATCTGTGAAGAGTCTGGGGAGAGCCCACGCTCCAGCATGTGACACAGTGCATCCCCCACCCCACCGCATTAGTGAGGTGAAGCTTGAAAAGACCCCTGTGTTTGGGCCGGTTAATATGTTGCATGAGACACATTTCCTCCCACGGAGGTCCACTGGACCTCTACTGCCTTGCCCTCCCTTCAATATTCACCTTCACCAGCCAAAACCCAGCTGAACTCTAGTTTACCTTGCCTTTGCAGCTTTTGGAGGCACTTAATGCTGGCAAAGCATGAAGCCAAAGTATTTTACAGATAACAGCTGAGCCTTTCGCTCATTACGTCAACAGAAGTAACTCGAGAGAGATGGAGAACTGTCTACTGATGGATGTAACTAAGAATTTGCTCCACAGAATTCTAGGACCTGCCATGAAGTGCTCTGTACCCTGCCTGCTCTGCTATGGACTGGGCTGATGCGGGGCGGGGGGCTGTTATGGCTGACTTTGCCTGGCTCAGCCTCTGCATGAGAAACCTGGGGGCTCTGTCCATACGGGCTGGTAGTTTTGCTGAGACAGAAACTGCACCACTCAAGACTGTTCACATAGAAAAGATTACAGAAGTCTGAAGAAGCTGAAGGAATAAAAAATTAATTAGACTTCTTAAAAATGTTCTGTATGTGCGGTCAAGTAATTAAAGATCAAAGGGGTATCTCTACCGGAAAATATTAGTTTAAAAGATTCACATCCCATTTCCCCTCTCATGTTTAGCGATGGCTAACATCTAGGAGGCATGTGATACCCACATGATAAACAAAGTCACGGTTAGTGTCATTAGAAAAGGCCTGCAAGGCATCTGTTAAACAAAAGCCCGGTGAAATCATGTTGCTTTACAAGAGAAGCAAAGTCTCACAAGCTGCGGCATAGCAGAGATGGAAATTAAAACAGAAAGTGTCCTAATCAAAGAATCCCCACTGGAAGCAATTTAAGAGGGGCAAAATGTAAAGCTTGTTTTCCTCAAAAGCCAGTGGCTGGAATTAAAGAAATTCCCTTAAAAACATAGAATCACAGGATGGTTGGGGTTGGAAGGGACCTCTGGAAGTCATCTGGTCCAACTCCCTGCTCAAGCAAGACCACCTAGAGCCAGCTGTTCAGGACCATGTCCAGAAGATTTTTTAGTATCTCCAAGGGCAGATATCATCCAGATCATTAATGCAGATGTTAAACGGGACTGGACCCAGTATTGACTCCTGGGGTAAACTGCTAGTTACTGGCTTCC